CTCAAAAAGGTTGCCTACCCCTGCCCTATAGCTATGGAGAGGCAAAATTGCCCCTCAATAAGAATTCTGCCTCCCAAATTTAATTTCCCCTCACTCCCCAAAATTCTAGCATTGCAGTATCTTAAAATTTCAGTTGAGCATTTGGGAATATTGCTTAGGCATCCAAAGGAAATTTCCCAAGGGAATGTGGGCATAGCAAATATATGAGTTTTAGAGAGCCAAAGTGGTGTAGTGATTCGAGTGTTGGACTACGAGACCCGGGTTTGATTCCTGCTGAGCAGGAATCAATTGGGTGAACTTGGGCAAGTTACATGCTCTTAGCCTCATGGGAAGGCAATGGCAAACCTCCTCTGAACAAATCTTGCCATGAAAACCCGATAATAAGGTTGCCTTAGTCACCAGAAGTCAGAAATGACTTGAAGGTACACAATAGGTATGAATGAATGTCAATGTCTCACTCTGTGCAGTAAAAGAAATGTGGGGACTGAAAGAAAACTTCATGGGTGGGGGGAATTATTATGAGGGAGGCCACCCTCTGCTCCCCACAGCTATACCTCTGCTTAGCCTACACCAAGTTTGATGGCATAAGCTACTTTAACTTCTTCTTTATACCTTATACTTTATACCCCTGCCTCAATTTGCTGCTAACAAACTGCTTTTAGAAAAGGTGATTCTTTACTACAGCTGATGCCTCCTTCCACAACACTGTCATCCTTCCACAACATCATGCAGACATGCAATTACATACATATAACAATGCTCTACTCATCTGAGTTAATATTTGAGGAACTCAAACTAAATAAAATAGATAATTAAGCCAAACAAGAGATAGGAATAGCTATAATTAATTAAAACTGGCATTAAAAGAAATAAATGCTTCAGAGAGGAAGAAGGTTTTCATCAGATAAATTTTCCCTTGTTATAAACAACCCAGATTATGGGGAAAAATTCTGGATCCAACTTTACTGTAGCAGCCAAGCTGCACTCCTCCTTTAAACTTATTAAAGCCACTTGTTAAGAATTAAATACACACAAATCTTGAATTTGTATAGTCCTCAAAATATAGTAACAAATGGTAGACACCAGATTCTAAGCTGTTGATAATTACATTTTTGCACATGATGAAATATTATTTTGGGAATTGCTTTGAAATCATCATTAAACACAGCCCTTGGCAGACAAAACTGAGTATTTGGAACATATAAGATGAGAATAAATAACTGAAATTCATTCTGGCTAAGTGGAAATAAAAACAGATGCCTTAAAAATGACAAGTATTTCAGAGCATTCACCTTTGGAAAGAGTCAGCCACTCTGAACTAGACTCGATGAAAGTCACTTGAAGCAACAGAGCTCTTTTACTTATCTTATAGATGCTGTAGAAGTGCAGTCTGATATGCAGCAGGTGTAATCTTTCATGTATTCATATTATTTAATTTATATCTGATACCATCTGGCCTTGGAGGGAGAGTTGCAGGCCTTGTTCCATCAGGCCTGGTGTAGATTAAGAAGCAGAGCCCTCCCTCCAGTCCATCTGAAAAACATCTGGCCTCAGAGGGAAAGATGCAGGCCTAGTTACATCAGGCCTGGTCTATATTAAGTGCCGATGCAGACCGGCCTAAAGGGCTGCCCGCCTGGGGGTGAAGTTGGGTGGGGTGACCACACATTGGCCACCCCGACTCCATCATCACACTGCGCATCCAATCGCATGGTGCGCAGTGTGCACACACGCTGCACCAAAGGGGTGCAAAAGAGCCGCCGCGGCTCTAAGGGAAGCTTTTTGACACCCCAAAAAGGAGCGGCATTTGCCACTCTTTCTGGAGCAGCAAAAAGGAGGATCGGGGCTGTGGCGTGTGGTTGCTGCGGCCCCGATCCGGCGCTCCCAGGGGCAACACAGAGCAATTTGACACAACATGAGCAATTTGACACAACAATGGTCTGGATTAATTAATTTGGTCTGGATTAAGAAGAGGAGCACTCCCTCCAGTTCATCTGTCATAGTCCAGGCGTCAGAAGGAGAGACGAATTGCTGGACCTGATCCTCTTCCCCACCGCCATCCCCTTCTCCTTTGGTGTCATGTCTTTTTAGATTGTAAACCTGAGAGCAAGAAACCCTCTAATGAACTCTATAAGGCAATCTGAGAGCCTTTATGGCTGTAGAGCGGGGTATAAATACTCTAAATAAATAAATATCCTTCTTCCCAACACATAACCCAAGCAGCTTACAAAAATATTAAAAGATACTATAAAAACCTGAGGATAAAAAAATTAAAATTATATTCACTATCTTAATTAAAAGACCAATAATTTTTAAAAGTTTATAAAATCATTTTAAAAACACACTAAGAAAGAATGAGCAGCACACAGAACCTGTTAAAAAAACAACATCTGCAACCATCTGTAAAGTGCATGGAAGAGTGATGTGCTCAACAGTAACCAATAACCATAGATTGTGGCAGTGTGAAAAGAAATGAACTGCCTTTTTTGAGACCTGAACACAATTTATATATGACAGAGAAAGGCCTGGTTACCTTATTGACACACTCAATAGAACTTCCATTACACTGTGATATTTTATCATATATTCCAATTCTTCCACACTATTATTGCATTTATTTTTAGCCCTCATACATCAATTTTATATATATATAAAAAAAACCATGCACTAGCTGAGTGGCAGGCATTTTCTGACTCCAATGAGAATTGCACGTTTGGGGTCAGAATTGGGGTTTGATGCACCCTTTGTGTATTTCTTATACCCAGTGACAACTTTAAAGTCCCATGAATGAGGCCACTCTGCTTCATTGTATCATAGCTTGCCAATCAGAACATGTGACTTTTTTTGTCCCAATACTTTCACCAGCTGGAACAATGGAGAAAAGCAATAGATTTATCAGGACATTTTTCGCCTGGCTGACAGTAAAGTTGAATTCTGAGGAAGAATGTCAACAGATTGTCTCTAACCCAGTAAAATAGTCTATTCTCAATGAACAATATTAAATACCAAGATATGAGTAAAGAAAGAAGGATATTTGCAAACAAGCAGGCGTCTTATTTTTGCACTCTCACAGTAGGGTACCATTGTCTTGGCTTGTGAAGAAGTGGAGATGAGAGTATGAGTCACTTGCATCAATTCTTCTCTTTTTCTTTTATCTTAAATATTTCTTCATCATTTTCTTGTTGAAACAATATCCAAAGCAGCTGCCTATTCCATTTCTTTGGAATGTATGCATTGGCGCTAATTCATAAGATAGTATTTCTCTCCGGCACTTGATAACTGTGGCCAGGAAACAGAAACCTGGAGTAGCACACTGTTTCACAGGTTGTCCAGAAACAACAGTTATGTGCAGTCAGTATTAGAAAGTTCACAGTAGGGCTATGCAAATGACACATACCAGAACATGAGAAAGTGTCAATTTTTTTTTTAATTTGAGCCTCCTTTTTATCGCTTTCCTATTTCCTATTGCTGTGGAATTCAGTGCAGGCACGCCTCAGTTCACAAAGCCTCTGACAAAGAAACTTCCTTTCACAAAGGCTTTTTATAGCAGCCCAGACTAGCCCTCTGTTCTTGTCTTCTGACTAGCTGGAAACTTTTTTTGCAGCATTGACATTGAGAGGATGGTTTTAAAAAAAAAGAGCTAGAGAAATTTGAAAAACAGAGTTTCACTCTGGTTGCAGCAACATGTCTGCAGTAAATAATGCAATTAATTTTGACCAGTGAAAAAATGGGGGGGGAGCAAATACTC